CCAGGCGGGCAAGCGCAGCAACGGGGAGGGGCGGAAGGCGGGGGTAAAGAACGGAGACGCGAAAGACAAAAGGAACGGGCGGAGACGCAGACGAGCGGAACCACGGCGACCACCCACGCCCGCGACGCACGCGCCAAGGTTCCTCTTGTTCTCCACGCCCACAATGCTGCAGGCACCTGCAGCAGGCAAGGCCGAGGCCCAGCGGAGGGAAAGGACGGCGACGGAACGGAACGCGGGCGAAAGAGCGGGGAGGCGGAAAGAGCAAAAGGAACGGACGAAGAACGGACGAAGACGGAGACGGTGGGCCACGAAGGCAGAGAGAAGCGGCAGCAGCGGCAGCAGTGAGGCAACATTTATTAGGGTAAAACACTTGATTTCTCACGGGCTTTGGCTCGCTGACCCCCGCAGCGACAAAAAAACTTTGTAGCCACTGACAAGTTTCTCTCTATATATACTTTCTGGTGCACCATCGAAAAAAACTTTGTGGAGCTTGAAAAGTTTCGTTTCCACGTGTCGTAAAAATGCACAGTCCTCGGCAATCTTGCTCACGGTCGACTCTGCAGCGCATTTGTCCACCTCAAAGGCTGAGTGTGCCTCATGTGCACCAATCACAGCACACCGCCTCACAGCTAGAGGGCGTCCTCCTGCTGAAAGGGCGACGAAGCCCACGTGGCTCTTCGTTTCGATCTGCTGCGCGCAAACGGTCGGAGACACCTGGAAGAAACACAAAAACCACTAGCGGAAGACTGTATGCACATTGACGCACCCACACACTACCCATCGCTTAAACACACAAGCGCCTCAAATGGCATAGACAAGGGCTTCACACAAAGACCCCGAGGAAGCTTTTCGAGCACTGCGGAGTCCAGCGATCCACATTCTTTGACTTCCACGTTCGCCAAAGTCTCCTGGATGGACACAAGTGAGTCCCACGACTCCCCTCAATCACCGTGGTCTTCCACGCCTGCAACCCTAGCTCGGAAGCGCGCCTTGCAAAAAGGTGCCAGGACTGCTCACTTAATTGTAGGTGGGGG